CGTTGCTCACGCCGTCCACATCGCCCATCCTGCTGAGAGATGACGCCAGGACGGAGTAAAACGCGGCGGAAACTTCCCCCTCATGCTCCTTCAGCAGTTGAATGACATCGCGTACCTTCTCGGCGTCCCCCCAGCGGGCAAACGCGGTGATGAGGGTTCCGAAGGTGACATCATTCATCGCCGTTCCCTCTGCCTTCATCTTGTCAATTAACTCGGTCACCTTCTCACGTTGGCCGCTCTTGCCGTATTTGTTTAGCAGCACATTAAAGATGTCCGTGGACCACGATGAGATTTCTTTTAGAAGCTCCTCCAGCTTCTCAGAGCCCTCCGCATGATTGGCGTAAACATGAAGCATACTTGTCTGCACATGCGGATGGTCTGTCAGGCCTCGCTTCTTCGCCTCCGCGTACGCGGCCTCCGCCTTTGCTAAGTCATTGGCGTAGATGCGAATGAGCACCGCAAATGTGACGGGTGTCAGTTGCAAAGTCCCAAACCCCTCCCGTCGCTTCATCTCCTCCACAATCGTCTCCACTCGTTCCAAGTCGCCCAAATCGCCAAAGATGCCTATCAGTGTGTTGTACAGCTGCACATCCGGCCGCACGTGTTTCTCCACCATCTCCTCGTAGAGCTTTTCAACATGACGAGGATAATATTTCCCTAACGCACGAAGCGTCCATGCATATGTTTGAGAATCCGGATGCACACCCGCCGCATCCATCTCCTCCTTCAATGCAATCACATCCTTCACGTTTCCCATAAGAGCAAACCACTTGAGCAATTCATTGTACACACGCACATCGTTGGTGAGTCCCTTGTATTGCATACGTGTCCATGCGGTCTTCAGGGAATCGGGCCGCCCCGCTGCCCCATAGCCACGAATGACAGCGCGGATGTGTGCGGCACTGATATCCATGTCGGGATCTCCTTGCTTCAGACGAGACTCAATGGAGGACAGGAGAGTGTCCACCTTGGACAGCATGAGTTCCTCGCTGCCACGATCGCCAAAGTGAATAAGCCGGGCGTAGGCGGCAATGATGATGGAATTCCCTGTGACATCCGGAACATAGCCAATCTCCTGAAGCTCAGCCTCCACAGCCGCAATCTCCTCCACAGAAGTCACGTGTCGCATACGCTGCCTAAGAATAATGGCAAAAGTTGCCTCATCCAACGCGACAGACTTTTCACGGGATGCCTGAAAGACAGCAGCGAAAGAAGCCTCATCGTCGCGTTGGTAAAAAACACGGAAGAGAGCACGGAATATGTCAGTAAGGTCGGCGGGGTCTATTTTAAGCTGCGTCACGTTTTGCAGCACCTCCATGATCTTCTCCGTCCTGCGCAGTTTGTCGTAGCCGTCAATAAGCGCAACGATGTCCTCCCGTGTGAGGTCGCTGAAAGAAAGTCCCTCATGCAGCGCATCGGCCTCCTCCGGATGGTTGGCGAAGAGGTACGCCGCGATGCACAATGGCCGCATGGCGGGATCGGACCGCATCTCATTTGCCAGCTGGATCATCAGCTCACTGCTGTCGTTCTCCTTGTAGGACTCAAAAAGGTAGCGCAGCGCATCCACGGAGATAACGCAGCCATACTTCCGAAACCGAAGGAAGGCGCGAAAGAGTAGGTGGGCCATGTCGTGCTGCGAGTACTTGACACACTCCTCCATGATACCCTCCATTATTAGCGAGGCACTTGCAGGGTCGATCAATTGCTTTCGAAGAAATTCCTGAAGAACAATCATCAGGTGCGTGACGGTGTTGCGAAAGTGCAGTTCCCGCTTACGTGAACGCCAGACTTGCTGCCGGACATGCTTCAACACATGCCGTGGCTTTGTACGCACCACCCGCACCAAGTCCTCCTCATCCTTCTGTGAGAAGGGCTGAAAAGATGCGGTCCTCTGGCTGAAGCGAAGGCATGTGAGGCCAATGGCTGCATGGCGACGGAGCAACAACCGACATGTAAACATTTGAATGTACTTTTAAATAAACTCCCCTCGTGCACATACACGCATGTGGGGCCACAGAGAAAAACAACGGAAAAAAAAAAGAAAAAAAAAAGTTGCAGGCTGCAGCAAAGAAAATAACCCACTTCTTTCAATGGCATAATAAATTCCCTTTTTTTCTCCATTTATTTATTCTTCTGGGAAAGAAGGGGAAGGCGGTAAAAAGTCCCCTCCACCCCCCCGCCCCGCCCCGCCAACGCATATGCACAGAGGCAAGTAGACAGACAAATACAAGAAGTAAAAAAAAAGGCAGGTATAAAAAACTGTTTTTTCTTTTTTTCTATTTTTTGTTTTTTTTTTTTTTGTTTTTCTTTGAAGCGGCAGGTGAGGCTCTCACTCCCCCATTGTTTTTTTTTTTCCCTTTTTTCCTTTTCAATTGCCCTCGGCCCCATTCATTTGTTGGGTCGTCCTGAACCGCTTCAACTCATCGATGCGTGCGTAAAGCCCCTCCCGCCTTCCATTCATCTCGCGTGAAAAGTCGCCAAGAGATCGCATCAGGGCGTCGTTCCATGTTTGGTAAAAACGAACCGCCTCCTCTACACTCCGCAGCCTCCCACAATCTGCCGTTTTGATGCAATCGTCCTCTACGCCAATGCAGCTGCTCAAAAGTGCGGTGACGCGTCGCATCGCACGTTTTTCCTCAAAGGACCACGCGTCCACACCATGCAGGAGATCTGTCAAACGGAGGCTTGCGGTTTTCTCCCCTTCCTTATCATCCTTATGGCTGCCGTATGTACGCAGCGTGGCCCGCACCATCTCCACAGCACGGGCGACATCGTCCGCTTCCTTTACAAGAGGCTCGAGCGCCTCCCGCTGTGCATCTACCGACTGCATCAATGCGGCTCGCTCGTGAAGTGCCTCTTTGCATGTCGACTGCAGACGCTGCACCTCATCACGCAATTCATCCCGCAGTCGGCTGGTGTGCGTGAGTCGCTGGAGTAGTTGCTTGTAAATCGC